TTCTGTCTAAACAGTACAGCTACTGTTCTTCGAAAACCCAGAATATCTGGATATATGTCGGGGGCATATCCAGATATCCATATCCGGATATCACAGAGCCCATATCCGGATATGCATATTCGGATATCACAGAGCCAATATCCGGATATTTCGCGGCAGAATGCAGTTTCTGTATTTCGCGAGATATCACTTCCAAGGTTCCATTTTTAACACTTTTAAACGTTAAAGCATCCATCTTTACACTCTTTTAGGTTCATATACTGATTGGTTACTTGTTTAACTCATTAAACATGCCAAGACTCCACTTTTACTCATTAAAACTCATGATCAAAGGTTCAACGACTTACCCAAAGCTTAAAACAGCAAGGAATGATGCTCTTGGAGCTCTCAAGTCAGTTCCAAAATGCTAACTTCAAGGGTGCACGAAAATGGCACTCAAGCAAGGTCCTTTCTCTTCAAAGGTCACACCTTGAAGCACAAAATGCCATGACAATGGCTCCCTCAACCCACACCAAGAAGTCAGCACCCCAAGCACAAGAAAACAACACCTCAAACTCAGAAAATGGAGCACCTTAAACTCTCTCAAGCCAATGCACACTCACACAAGGAGTTTTAGAGAAAGAACCAAGAAGAAATGAGGTCTCTTGGCTCCAAAGGTGAAGGGAGGATGAAGGTGGCAAGGTGGCTGCTCTAACTTCAGCAAAACTCACGTAGAGAATCTGAGCATGCCTAGGGTTATGTGCCTAAAGTTGTATATATAGTGTTTTAAATAATAAACACACAGTATTAGCACTAATAGCTACGCTTAGCATTTTAATCCCAAACTTTGGAATATGAACCTACTCATTTTTCTATAATTTATCATATTTTTATTATATTTTTCGCAGCACCTTTTCGGTACGCGCTTTTCCATAGCCAGTATTAGTTCTGGCACCAGTTCTTATTATTTAACTTGAAACTTGAAATCACAGTCCTATATATTATTATATGAATATTCATGCACTTATTATAATTTTCCAGGAAACTTCATCGGTACGCATTTATACCGAGTAGAGGAACCGGTATCTGCACTTTTCGTCAGAAAAGCGACTTTCAGCATTATTAATTAATTAGAAATATTATTTAAGCCTTCTCATAATTATTAGGGTCAATTATGGAATTATTTCCTAATTTCTCATAATTAATTAATTAACTTCCTTAATTAACGGTGTGGGTTCTTACAGTAGCTGATATTAGTGCTGACACCAATTCTCATTATTTTGACCTGAAACTTGTTATACTAGTCCTATATATATTATTCTAGTAATATATACACACTTTTTTGTAATTTTTCGGGATACTTCATCGGTACGCATTTATACCGTGAGGCAGAACCGGTATCTGCACTTTTCGTCAGAAAAGCGACTTTCAACATTATTACTCATTTACCATAATTATTTAAGCCTTCTCATAATTATTAGGGTCAATTATGGAATTATCTCATTAATCTCATAATTAGTTAATTAACTTCCTAATTTAACGGTGCGAGTTCTTAGAATGACCTCTCTAACAGAAATTAGTGTTTGGCTAAAAATTCTCTCCAGCTTTTGTTCATTGGGAGCAACCCACACCATTCTAGGCTTTGATTCACTTTACATTCTTAACTTTTAACATTTTTCAGAGATTGCCTAATTATCCTGAGGTTAATCAGAGAGTAGAAGCAAATAACAATAAAGGCCCAAGTCTTGCTAGTAAAATCTTATGTCAACTGAGAATTCTTTTTCTCTCTTGTTCCCTCAAGCAAATTCCTCCATACTAATAATCACTATTCTATCTCTCAACACCGTCACAGTAACTTTCGTGCTTAAGAACATCAAACCAACAACACATTGTTACCATTTTCAAGTTTTCACACTCAATGTATATAAATCATGTAATCCATAACACAAAACACAATATAATATCAATCCAGCAAATTGACTTTATTCAATATATGCATCCCAACAAACATAGAAACAACCATTCATCATAACTTAACATCACATATATGGGTTCATTAATCCAACTACCAGACATAATACCAATATAGAATGCAAAAGTACATGAATCATGCAATACAATGCATAAATACCCCAATCTTAAAGTATTGTTATGTCCTCACAGCATGTCATGGAATTTAAGAAATAGAGGTACTTACCATTGAGTTTTCTGTAGAAGGGAAAAATTGTAAAGCATATGAAAACAACAAATTAATAGGTCTTACGCATCAACATGGTGGTGACTTCCTCTAGGTACGTCATCAGGAACAAGCTTAGCTCTATACACTTCATCAAAATCTACATTCATAACTTTTATCCGGGAATGATGGGTATTCAAATGTGGGAATCCCATGATCTTTTCCCCATACATACCCTTCTTTATCCAATACTTATTTTTCTTTCAAAGCCACACACATGTCTAAGTTCTGGATATTGTATTTCTTATTATCAACTCTCAATTTCCTGATATCCATCTTCCTCTGCTTGTTTTTTTTTTCTTTAGCTTTGTGATTTTAGCCTTCAAAATCTTCACTTACTGACCCAAAGATGTGGTGTCTGCTCCAGAATCATGAGGAACTTGGCTAGATGATGCATTAGCATTGTGGAAGGTTGAAGTGTTGGGAGGAGGACTGGGGATAGCTTGAGTAGGAGAACCCGGTTAATGCTACGGGCTTTGTGGGGGTGACTGTGGATCGAGCTTGGTTTTCACCTTAAGGTACTTCCTGAGGCTGTTCTTCATCAAGATCCATGTATATATCATCATCAACTGACATCATTATGCGATTCACAGTTCTTTGGTTATGGGTAAGGAAGATGTGACTTTGGGTACAACAGCATCAAAGTCGATTCCCCTGGCTTTATAAAGGGAAGTGACCAATACTGAGAAACCAAAAACACGCTTCAACTTACGCGCTCCCTCGCATAATTCATGAGACACTATGGCACCCATGTCCACATTTCTACCAGTCAGCAAACAATAAAGCAGAATTTCTCTATCCAAGGAAATTATAGTATCATGCAATGTAGGAATCATTTTTCCTTTGATGAATGTTATCCTGACCTTTGCTTCTGGGCATAACTCTCTTCTATTAAGTTCTTGGCCTAAGTCCCATTTCTTCTACTTATTTGCACAAATAGTTTGTGCCACTGTATTCCAGAATGTTGTGTTACTTTCCTCCTGTAGCAGCTACCCATATTCATCTATAACCTCGTCTATGCCAAAACACTCACGAATAGCCTCTGGATCTATTGGTATTGGGGTTGTAATAGCCGTGTATACCCGGTTTATTAACATGTTATCGTATTAAGCCACGGTTAATTAAATTGCGGAATAACTTTTTCTTTTCAATTATGACATCATTAATATTACCAAGTTGGTTACTTAATCCTTTTTCATAAAACACCGCCTCTATGTAAATTACAAATTAAACTTCTAACAGAAAATACCTCAATAAATAAATAACTGAATGTGTCTCTAGTCACGGAACTACACCACGTAGACTGGAAAGATCCTGATAGTTTATACAACTCAATCAACTAAAACATCGTCAAATCAATGTGGCATGGACAATCCCCATGCTCACCAAATAAACAGCATACTCATAAGGTCTCAATACAAACATCATGGTAATGGATAAGGCATAATCACTAAACAGGTACATCAGCATAATCAGCACGCATATCAATCAACTAAGCTCTGGCCTCCTACTGCCAGAGGTCTCAACCCCCGAGTTATCTGAACCTGAAATATGTGCCCCAAATGAGGGGTGAGATCTCTAAACAGAAATCTCAGTAAGGCAAGGGGTCCTCAAGGATTTCTCCACCCCAAGCTCACTTACATGTGCAATATAAGTTCTAAAAGCAATTTATCAATATAAGTTACAAAATTAGTGCAATGCAGCAGATAATCATGTCATGTGTGTCAACTATTCTACTGGCCAGAGAAATACAAGATTTATATACGTCTATTACCCACATTTAGTGCAAGACGCCACTTGGACCCACCCACAGAATCACCGTATTGTATGACGCCACATACTCAGGCTTACCGTTTAGATGGAACAACTCATGCATATTATAAGGCCCTTGTACTTAACAGCTCAAAAGTATTTCAATCATAAAAAATGAAAACACATCATGCATAAAACCATTCCCCTATGGGGCATGGTGGAACCAACAATGGCTAAACCGAGGACACGAAGGCTTACTTCTAAGCAATCAATCAAATCCATGGTCCACACAAGCTCAAAGTCCACAAACAGCAGAATCACAATCTGTTTTAGACCAGCAATATCATTAATAACCATACTCTACAAGTATAAGACACAAGGATAACACTTTCCCTTTACGTTTCATGTCTTTAGGCTTCTCACAAAGCCATAAGCCTTTATTTCACTTAGATTCTGTAACATCCTGCAAAATTAGAAAATTACATAACTTGCAATTAGGGGTGTGTAGCATGCTTGAAACTCGAATTAAAATTATGTTTAGAGTAAAATTAATTTAAGTAGGAACATTATTGTGTTGCTATTATAAGCGAGTATATGTGTATATTTTAAAAGGTTCAAGACACTAGTTAAAAAAGAAAAGTACTACATTTAATTACAATAAAGGTAGGAACCTTAATTATTAACTAGTGGGAACATGAATTAATAATTATTACGAAAATATTTAAATTGTAAATAGGCAGGTGGACGTATGTCATGAAATTGAACTACAAGTAAGTGTAGGATAGGATTAATTGCTAATTACAACGCACCAAAATAATCCTAGTCACTACTTGGTAATTGATATGAATTAATGGGTACACCAAGAAGTTAAATTAGGGTCCATTTAGCCTAGAGGGCGACGGCCCAAGCATTGGAGAACTTGGGTTCAGCCCAAAATCTACATTAAGCATTATCTCTAATTGCTCAAGTGAAATCTACATGCATGAAATCCTATTGGTCAATGGCAACCCTATCTACCTTATCTTTTCGCTTGTGCGCATGGTCTTGAGGGAAACACAAATCAGTTTGCTGCCACCCCTGATTCAGACCCATATGCTGTCCTCATTCCCTGCACATGCGTTTGAATGGTTGAACCACAATAGAATACTTATTATTTCCACTTCTTGACTAAACTCAGCCCCTAAATCCCCTCCACAAGCCGTGAATCCCCAAGGGAAAACAACCAGAAAAGTTGCATGTTCCTTCCTCCTCTCTATTCCCTCAAACCGTGAGTTATCTAGGAGGAGAACAACCATCCAAGTTTCCATTCCATTCCCTGCATGGTTCGATTGAATGACAGCAGCCAAGGAGAGCACAACATGAGTTCATCCTTCATCCATTCCTTGTGCGGCCCTGCACCTAGAAACAAAGAGGTGTATTCATTCCCCTATTTCCTGGTTCACCTTTCCTCTCTTCGATTTGATGAGGAGATTCTTTTGCATGCAGATTTTGAAGCTCGATTCCTTGTGTAGAAGAGGGGTGAGGGTGTTAGTTGCTACTCTAATCGATTTGTAATCTTTGTGTACTGGCAAGAAGGTACTAACGAAAACAAGTCCCATTCTCCTTCCTACTTGCTGTCTCGATTTTCATTTGTGGTGTAGGATATACATATTTTTGTCATCCCTTCTTTGGTTCTGTTTGGACGCTGCATATATGCCTGGAAGATGTATTTTTGGTCATTCCTTCCTTAGTGTTCTATTCAGTTGCTGCATGTAGTTTAGGAGAATTATGAGTTGTCACTTTATTCCCTGTTTCTACCCCTTGGATCGTCTTAGAACCTAGTGCCTGCAAGCACCAAAAACCCGGTATAGGAGCTTAGAAATGGCTCCCATTAATTTAGTTGGAATGTACCTTGAATTAGAAAATTAATTAAGTTTTTTTTTTTGCATGTGTCAAATTGTTGAAGACAGCCTGCTAGAATGTGTTTATTAATGCCTAAGAACCGATTTTTGAGGTTTGAAGAACAACCCTCATCATTGTGTGATTGTTTGTTGGAATAGACTGTTATAGGTAGCCTTATATTGTAATAAAATCTGTATGGGCAGCATGTATAAGAGTCTCTTTAGCGCACCATAAGTCTTGAAGGGTAGATTATGTAATTGAAAATTTTAAATCACTAGTAATGGCCTTAAAGACCGAATCTGTATGTTTAGGAAACATTGGATTGTGTCATTGGTTAACAATTAGGAAAGCTGAATCTAAGGCAGAAAAGTAATTAACACTTGAAGCATGATAAGTCGATTGAAATCTTGGGAGTTGAAGGCTTGGAAAATAGCCTTAATCACTTTATTAACTATCCCTTGAACTAGTGTTTTGTCAAGGATTGTATGTAATAATAATAACAAATATACACAGCATGCTTTGTGCCTCTTGAGCGCACCCTAGACCTGGTAGATAATGACATGTGAATGTTGAATTTGTGGCACCTAACTGTTAATGAAAACCGAACCTACATGCCTTAGGAATTTCGGGTTTGGCACTTGTATAATTGAAAGTTGGAAGCACTTGTTAAAGGCTAAGAACCGAACCCATTTGTAGGGAAAATTCTGATTACGTCGCTTGCTGTCTATTGGTGAAATAAACTCAATGTTAGAAAAATCAAATGAGTATAAAAAATTTATGAAATCCTATTGAATCAAGTCTTGCATGCGTTTATAGTTTTTGTAGGCAGCATGCTTTATGCATCTTTAGTGCACTCCAAGCCTTGTAGGTATTGCCATGTAAATGACTACTTGTGGAACCTGGTTGATGCCCAAAAACTGTGTGGCATGTCTTAGAAATCTAGATTTTTGTAAATTAGTAATTGGGAGCCTGGAAAATGTAGCTTAAAGCCAGGAAATGAAATTGGTACTAGCAGCATAAATTCTGAATGGAACATTGTGATTTGTAAATAAATAAAGTAAAGAAATTTTGTTTGGTACTTTGATTAGGTTCATAAACCTCAAGGATGTTGGACGGACTTGGGGCTATTTTGATTAAAAAGCTAAAGTATCAGGTAAGTGTTCGGTGGATTACCCCTTTGTGACTGTTAGTTTAGTACTTGAATTTTTGATTTGTTTCTCTCGTGTTCTGTTCTGTTTCTGTTTGGAGGTAACTATAATTGATTTGAAATAAGAGCTGTTGGAAATTCTGTTTGAATATGATGGTGGATTTGGAATAAGAACTGTTGGAAATTCTGATTGGATATGTACTATGCTTTGAAATTCTGTTGTCATAATTATATATGAATTATGATTCTGATATCTAGTCATACGCATGAACATCATAAAATTGCATTTGGGTCATGTATGTGCGAAGTCAATCATGTCATGGCATATAACATTATGCATTCATCTTGGAAACCGAAGTATATAATAAAAGTAAGCATACGTTTGAGCACGCATCATATAGGCATCCCTCCGGTACCAGGGTATGGGACACTTGGCTTCAGTCCGCATAGGTCCAGTGGAATTCACCTTTAGGAGCCCTATGGAATCTCCACTGTGTTAGTTAGTAGTACGTGCACTGCAGTGCTATGAACGTACATTACTTTGGCGTTATATAGGCACTTTGATTAGTATTTTGGCGTTATATACGCACTTTGATTAGTATTTTGGCGTTATATACGCACCTTGATAAATATTTTGGCGTTATATACGCACTTGGATTATATGATGGAATATGTTCTGGAACTATTTGATGATGTGACAATTTTGGAAATTCGGTATTTAAATTAACATTGTTGCATTGTTGGATTTTCTGCCACACTACTGGGATTTTTCTTACCCCTTCGGGGCTCAATTTTTATAAAATTGCAGGAGGACGTAAAAGCATTTGGTGAAGTAGTATTTTGGATATCTGCTGTTGTTTTAAAATCATGTTGTTTGTCGCTGTTTATTTGGCTGTGCTGAATCTTGACGTTATGTACTGTTTTAGGGATTGACCAAGTGAATGTAGTATTTTATTTTGGGAACACACAGTAGCTTGATTATTGTATTTGCTAAGACTTATGTAATTCGGTTATCTTATTTTGACAAACAATTTCTGCTGTTTAAATTCGGATTTTGAGATTAAGTTTTCGAGCACTTTGCGAGTTCTGTTTTTGGGGCTACAGACCTTCGATCGGAGTATAATTTATATGCACTTAAAGCCCCAGGTGTATAGTTTCATATTATATAAAGTTTGTGTCCACAGCATGTAAGCACGGATTTTTATGATTTTTGCAAGTCAGGTAGTTTTGGAAATATTTACACAGATTTATCTCTCACCTTGCGAGTTTTGTTCCGGAAGCTACGGGACTCCGAATGGACCATAATTTATATGTACCTGAAGCCCCACATGTCTAGTTTCAGATTATATAGACTTTACAATGAAATTCTGAAAGCTCGATTTATTATGATTTTTTCAGCCAGACAGATTTTCAGGAAAATTATTATTTCAGTAAGCTATGTTATTTTATAAAGTTGCACACTGTTTTCAAGAGAATTCAGAGTTGCGCAACGAAAGTTTTCTTTTTTAAAAATTACTTGCTGATTCTATTTTACGAAGTCAGTTTTCCAGGTGAAAGTTTGAATTGGTATCATCAAAAGGTTTCTTTCAGAATAAGAATTTTATACGATAATGTGGTGACTCTAATCGGTTTTAGCAGACACTTCTCTTGGATGCATACAGGGGAGGGTGTCACAGATTCTGACTTAGATTAATTATTATAGAAGTCCACATTAGCCAATCATGGGTCCACAAACCCAAAATTCCATTCTGTATGAACAGTACAACTACTGTCTCGAAATTCTCAGAACATCCGGATATACATCGGGGCCATATCCGGATATCGATATCTGGATACCATATCCGGATATCGATATCCAGATATCGATATCCAGATACCATAACTGGATATCCATATCCGGATATCACAAGTCCCATATCCGGATAACAATATCCGGAAATCATATCCGGATATTTTGCGACAGAATGCAGTTTTTGAATTTCACGAGATATCACTCCAAAGGTTCAACTTTTAACCCATCAGAACGTCCAAGCATGCATTTTTATTCACTTTTAGGTTCATATACAGGTTGGTTACTTATTGAACTCATTAACATGCCAAGATTCAACCCTTAAACAAGAAAAAATCTTGAACAAGGTTGGTGAAACTTACCCAAGGTTCAAAACAGAAACAAGGTTGCTCTTGGAGCTCTCAATCAGCCCCCACAGTTCTGACTCCACAAGGAAACGAAAATGGCAAGCAAGAAAGGTCCTTTCTTCACAAAGGTTGCTCCTTTGAGCTTACACAACCAAAGGGAAGACTCCAAAACCACACAACTCAGAAACAGCCCCTTCCCAACACACACACACACAGCACCCTCAACTCAGAAGACGACACCTTTCACACTCACCAAAGCTCACACCCAAGTGTTAACTTGTTTAGAGATGAAGAAATCAAAGAAAAGAGGTGGCTTTGAGGGTTTCTCATGCAATGGTGACCAAGGGAGAAGGAATGGACACTATGTAATCTTAGACTTTATGCATATACGATGGAATGGCGTGAATACCTATTTTGCATGATTTGGAGTCTATTACTTGTGTGCCTTACTCTTATATGTTGGCAACGTATGTTACAATATGCATGTTTGTCAAATGGTCTTGTTGATTAAGTTAAAGGTCCATAACTTATAAACCAAGCAAAGATAAGAAAATGTATTGAATTAATGAGACTTGTTATGGATGTAAGAGCACCCTAGTTTGTTCGGATATGGGTTGCCTTTCCATGTCTATTAGGTACCCAAGAGGTGTGCCACTCATGTGAGAATTGAGCCTTGAAATAGATAGGTCATGCTGAAATCTAGGCTCTGCTCACTAGCGAGTTTGCTTTAGCAAGGAGGCCAACGAACTAAATAAATTGGAGATAGAAGCAAACTCAGAGCAAGAGCTCGAGCGAGCTCGCTGTTGGCCTCGCTCCAGTGAAGGAGGCTACGAGGACACAAAGCACCTAGGCAGTAGCTATTGTCTGGGATTTAATTTGCTCGTTGTAGTGCTTGCTTGAGCGAGAAGTACAATGAGCTGTGCAAAGTGCTTGCTAGAGAGCTCGCTTTAGCGAGGAGCCTAACGAGCTGTCCAGTTTGCTGAAAAATTAAAATAAGGTTGTGGGGCTTACGGGAACCCTATAGTTGTGTCTAATAAGACCAATATGATACGATTAATCCATAGTTGATTATTTCACAATGTCACTTAGTTGCAATTACGATTTTGGTTTAATTTGAATACGATTTTTAATTAAACTGTTGTGATTGTAACTGCACTTAATATCATAGTAATGTTAAAGAATTGGGTGTATGACGGGGCATTACAACTTCTCTCTCTTGCTACTTTTAGACAAATATCAAAATATTTAATTAACATTTATATATTTTAAATATAAATAATACGAAAAAAGAATGTCGCAAAAAAAAAGAGAAAAAGTTAATGATTTTTATTTAATTTTTTTTTTGTGTTGACTAATGTAATTACAGAATTCAACGGAAAGAAAGAAAAGAAAACTTAACTTTTCAATTACTTAAATTTAGAATTCCACGAGGCATGAATGACGGGCGAGTCAACATGTTCTTGAACTCTTAGGAGCTGACGTGGCAATCGCTATCGGCGTCGATGCTGCCATGACTTTGTTTGTTACCGGGGCATATTAGGACACAGTGACTTTGAGGTAGTATTTTGATCGTAACAACTCTAAAATCAATATATGGAAAGTGCTTCTTCCGTGACGAATGATGGGTATAATTGTCTGGAGAAGATTCTCAATTTTTATGTTTATGTATAGTAAGAACTCGCACTGTTAATTAAGGAAATTAATTAACTAAGTATGAGAAATTAAGAAATAATTTCATAATTGACCCTAATATTTATTATGAGGCTTAAATAAATATAATAAGTGGTTTAGAATGCTGAAAGTTGCTTTTCTGACGAAAAGTGTAGATACCGGTTTTGCTAGTCGGTATAAATGCATATCGATAAAGTATCCTGGAAAATTATAATAAGTGCATGAATATTACTAGAATAATATATAGGACTTGTAAAACGAGTTACAAGTTAAAATAATGAGAACTGGTGCCAGAAACTGATACTGGCTATGGAAAAGCGCGTACCGGAAAGGTACTCCGAAAAATATAATCAAAATATGATAATTCTTGTAAAATTGAGTAGGTTAAGAATCCTAAGTTTGGGATTAAAATGCTAAGCGTAGCTATTGATGTTAATACTGTGTTTTATTTTAAGTGAACCTATTTAAGCTAAAAGGCACAAAACCCTAGGCCATAATTTGGCTGCTACGTGAGTGTCTTGAGGGCTGATTCTCTTCAGCCATTGCCTCTTATCTTGGAGCTTGGACCCTTGTGCTTGTTTGAGGGCCAAGAACTCACCTTTTCTTTGGATTTCTTCACATTAAGACTTGTAAACACTTAGTAGTACATGGTGAGGAGGTGGGGATGCCTTGTTTCGGAGTTGAGTTCTGTTTTGTGAGGATTGTTGGGGCTTTTTTTTTCTGAGTTTGAGTGGTTAGTCACTTGGTGGTGGCATTTTTGAGTTCCAAGTTGTGAGCTTGTGGGGAAAGACATCATCTTGTGATGTCAAATTCGTGGTGATCAGAAGTCAGTGCTGTGTGACTATGTTAGAGGCTCCAAGGAGGAGTCTTTTCTGAGTTTAAACCTCTTGGAGGTATACCTTGATCACTCTTTGTCATTTTTGGAGTTTAAGGCTTGTTTAATCATTTAAAAAGTGAAGCTTTAACCTTTTGAGTAAAGAAAGGTGTTTTTGGATTCATAACATGTTGGTGGTTATCTGTTTAGGGAGTCATTGGACTCCAATCGTTTTTGGATCCTTAAATTTGGGATTATGCAGAAGTTGGCTCGAATTTCTGCATTCTGTTGAAGAAGTATTCGAATACTTTTCGTGTAGTATTCGAATACTTGTTCATGATAGTCGAATACTCCTTACAGGAGTATGGGGATACTTTTCTGGGAAGAAAAGTATTCGGATACCTTTGAAGAAGTATTCGAATACTGGAAAGTATTCGAATACAGTGAGGTTTGGTATTCGGATACTGAGGTATTCGGATACTGGGGAGAGAAGTATTCGGATACTTGTAAGTATTCGAATACTTTATTGAAAGTAATCGAATACTTTCTGGAGAGCTGGAGTATTCGAATACTACTCGTGGAGTATTCGAATACTTCCTGCAGAAACAACATGTAATGAGTTAAAATGAGTAAGAAAGACCTAATCACTTAATGTAATCTGAGCTATGATTATTGATGATTAATTATGGTATGGGCAGATTGTGATTGTGCTGTTTGTGGGCCTTGAGCTTGTGTGGACTCTTGGCATTGGATAGTTAGCTTGCAAGGTAAGCTTTCGTGTCCTATGTTTAGCCATGTTGTGGTTCCACCATGTCCCATGGGGTATGGTTATATGTATGCTGTTTTACATGCTTTTGATGTTTCGGAAATGCTATTGAGCTGTTATATGCTAGTGCCTTTATGATATGCATGTGGTGTTCCACCTATACGGTAAGCCTGAGTATGTGGTACATATAAGATGGTGAGGCTGTGGGTGAGGTGCAAGCGATGTTCCTTGTACTAACTGTAGGTAATAGACGTATTCCTGCATTTCTCTGGCCAGTAGAATAGTTACAACACACATGGCATGAATATCTGTTGCACTGCATTGAGTTTTGGAACTTATATTGAATTACTGCTTTTGGAACTTATATTGCACATGTAAGTGAGCTTGGGGTGGAAGATCCTTGAGGACCCCTTGCCTTACTGAGATTTCTGTTTAGAGATCTCACCCCACGTTTGGGGCGCCATTTCAGGTTCAGGTAATGTTGGGGTTGAGACCTCAGGCGGTAGGAGGCCGGAGCTGAGTTAGATAATGCTGATTTATATGTTGACATGTTGGATGCTGGATATGCTTGTTGCTATTATGCTTTTAGCTTCATTTATGGTTATGGATTATCTGGTTGAGACGTTATTGTTATGATGTTGATT